TAAAACTATTATTTGCGTATAGACCTTTGAGTGGTTCTGTTAGAAGCAAGACCTTTTTAGAATCCCACATGAGCAGGCAAGATTGGTTCTGAAGAATTTAGCGTTTTTACTTCTAAAGGACATGAAGAAAAACCAAGTTGGTTTTTGGATTCCATGTGCCAAGCCACTTTAAACAAACAGGTGACAAGCTGGTAAAAATAGGTGACAGCCTTAAAAAGCAGCAACCTGGAAGTACAACATGTATTCAACAAACCAAAATAGCCTGGCAGAGATCTGAACTTAGTGCCAGATGGAGCCAAGATATTATTATGGTTTATGCTGTTTATTTTTTCACTAAGTGCATTGTCTTGCTGTGATATTTTTTTTCTGTTTTAAATTAATTCTAATTACCCTCAGGCATTCGGAAAACCTGTGGTGCACTATTTATTGAATTATTGTTCTTTCCACTAGAATTATTGTTTTCCTTGTCAATGTCTCTCTTCCATTTTGGTCATTTTTGTCACCTGAGAACATCAGTGTAAAAATGGTTTACACACACACACAAAGTTTTTGAAGTAGTGAGAAGGACAGTGGTGTCCTTGGCTCTCTTGTCTCCAAATCCAGTTCTTACACCCGCGTGCAGAGCCATTGCCCTCCCCCCTCCCCCCATTCCCCACTTACTATTATTTATCCCCCACTTATTATTTGTCTGAGGAAGGGGCAAGGGAGAGAAAGGGAGGGGAAAAAAGAAATGCCTCTGTTGCCATAGCCGCCACTTGGTCCAGCAATAGTCCGTCTGTGATTCCGCTTGATGGAAAGGGCCTGACTCTGCTCTGCTGGCATTTGCCAAGACAGATTCAAGCTGACAGGCTCTTTTGGATCTGAATCATTTATAAAGCAGAGGCCATATGGGTATGCATGTACGTGGGCATGTGTGAAGAGAAGGAGGGGGGGGGAAGGAAACATGGGCAGTGCTGGGGGCACGCGTTGCAGCAGAGCACAGGGAAGGGGACCCGCAGGGCCTGTTCCACATGAACTCCTCCATTCTAGCAAAGCCCCTGTTAGATTCCAGCTACTCCTTCAAATCAGATCCTGCAAATCAAGACCATTTATTCCTATAACAAGGAGAGGAGCTCTGCAGAGCAACCGTGAGACCAAGGGTACAGGACATAGAGCTGCCCCTTTTCTTCCCCCAGGCCCATATTTGGGCTTGATCTGCAGACATTACCAGGTGGATTGTGCTTTTCTTGCTGCCCTGAAAGCCGCTTTCTGCTTTAGAGGCACAAGACCAAGCCAGCAAGCCTTTTCAAGTAACTCCGAAGGATGCAAGGAAAAGTTCTTAATGGCTGAATCTCTCCCTTATTTTTCTCACCAATCAATGCCATTCTCCCACGATGACAGGAAAACCAGACAGTCTTCCTGACTCCCCAGGACTTTGGAGGACTCATGACTGTGGCTGTCATCTTTTCTCACTGAATTTGCCTTGAACAGCCATCAGATTCAAAAGATGGCAGAGTTCTACCTCTTGTGCTGTTCCGGCTACTACAGACGCAGGTGAGAGAAATGGAAGTGGGGAGAGTTGTGTAGCAACCTTACTCAGGATGGATGAGCTTTTTCTGCTTGGCAGGACCTGGTGCCTTTAAAACGGGCACAATCCTCCCGGCCTTGAAAAACACCATTGCAATAAAAGAAGTTGCTGCTGTATAAACTCAGCCACCGTTGTTTATAAAGCAACTGTGAGTCAACACACCAAGGTTAAACAAACCATGGATTAGCATAATGTGCAAATCCATACACCCTCTTGTGAATTGCTTCTGTCAAGCAGCAGGGATATATTTTCTAGGTAAGTGTTGTGAGATGCAGGTCAGTTGAGGCAGGCTAAAGCAAACTGTCAGCAAGGTCAAGGCCAAAAGGGAATAGGAGACACCTATTTTCTCTTTTCCTCAATCACATCTTTCTTTCTTTGACATCTGCCTTTCCTTTCCCCCCTTCCTTCTTGCTCTCTCTGTGTCTGTTTCTCATTACAATGCCATGTTATTCTTTCACTTACCCTCCATTCAGCAGATTGGCAAGTGAGGGACTTTCTTGCTAGGGATCTGAATTGCTTCCTTGAAAAAAGCCTTGCAAATTCCACTAAGGAAGCATATGCTTTGGCTCAGAGCCACATGCCAACTGAGGACTCCCCCATCTACTAAACACATTCAGGAAAAAAAAAAAGTGGGGGGGGGAATTCAAGAACAGGAATGTCTGTTTGGCCTTCCTATGGGGCCACTTTCCCTAAATCAGATGTGTGGAATTGAGGCAGAAGGAAAGAGCCCATTTTGCTACTAAACCCCACCTCCTGCAAAGTATCATAGTATATGGCCAGCTACTTCAGGAAAGGAAAGATTCACTAATTAAAGTGATGGCTTTGTGTTAGGACTACTATCACTGGTCAGTTCAAGTTACCTAGCATTACTTAGAGAGCTGTCACTATGGATGGATAAGTAAAAAAATGTTTAATGGTAAAAAAGGGAGTTCAGTGGAAGAGATTTTGTCAAGGCCCTTCAAAGAAAAACTGGCATTTGAGAAACCTGGATCTGAGCTGTAACCATTTCAGGCTATAAATGATGGCCTATCCCTTCCTTCTATTACAAAAAGCTAAAGTACACAGAGAGAAAGAGAACGTGTGTGTTTACAAAGGAAACTGAAAACAAGGAGGGGATTAATACAAATGGAAATGCACTCTCAAACATATTTTTAAGAACAAAACATTAAAGGAGAAGAGATGAGATAATACCAGCACTAAGGAGCGTTGTAAAATTCTTGTTCAACACCTTTTTATGTTAATGGTCCCTTTTCAACAGCACATTAACTAATTAATTGAACACACATTTGCATATTCCGAAATAGTCCTCAGTCAGCATGGCCAAGGAAGATGAGAATTATAATCTAAAAGATCCAGAGTGCAATGGGTTGGGAAAGGGTGCTAGAGAAGATATAATGTATGCTTTCATAGAAGTAAATTAAAACTGCTGGATGAACAAACAGCAGCAGGTAACATTTGCCTTTGAAATATGCAGTATGACAATACTGGTATTCTGTTCCTGGCATTTACCAGAAGTGAAAGAAAGGTGGAACAGAAGCATGCAAGATCCATTAGAAAGAGTAGAGGGCTTTTTTCCTACCTATGTTAGGATGTTTCAGAAGGCGGCAGATCCGAGCCTCTCGTTCTAGCTTCTGATGATCTGTCAGGAAAGATATTCACAAATCAGCATTCACAAATCAGCATGGGAGAAACAGAGATGCCTATGGACAAATGCGATCTCCTCCTATTATTATCTTGGGATTTAGAACATGAAAATCCAGTTAGCAATGAAGAATATTTGAAATGGTATACTGCCCTTCACAATACAAAATCAGAGAGTGGTTTGAAAAGTTAAAATAGAATATAAAATAACAACAACAATTAGAACCCCCTACAGAAAGTCAGCAAGAAAGATATCGGCAGAATTAAGGGATACATTGAGCTCTGAGCCTAGGATTTCTCAAAGCTCCAGGAGATGGCAGCTATGGAAATCTGGGATACTGTAGGTCAGCTCTTACAGCCCTCCATTAAGTAATCCTAGAGTCGTATACTCTGAAGCAAGTCCACTGATTTCCATGGGGTTGATTACTTAAAAGTGAAGGGCAGTCAGGCCTTATGTGAGTTGGGAGACTATCAGGAAAGTTCAGGGCTGTAAGCTATGTTGGGAAGTTAAACAAGGAATCTTAGAAGACTTTACCATGAAAATCCACTCATCCCATTTGCCTTGAATCACATAGACACACCTCAGTTTGTGTTGAGATGAGACAGAAGAAAGTTCACACAGCTATCTATTCTCCAGTGTGCTGTAACTGTGCCTCAGAGCTTGGGAACAGAGTCTCACACCATAGCCATAGGTGCCAAACATCAAAAGCTAAGCTGTGGGTGAGTAAGAACATCACAGCTCTTTCTTTGTTGCTCCGCTTTTTAGGTTTTTTAAAGTTTTTTTTTAAAATATCTATTCCAACAGGTATATAGAAATAAACCATGAAGCTTAATTCTCTTTTCTTCTCTGAGAAATGGTTACATGCCTGAGATACAGGAATTGCAGCCGTTGTGCAAATGGATCTGAAATAGCTGAAAATCCTCCACTGGTCCTTTAGAGACTGTCTATGATGTGTAAAAAAGCTGCCTCACACAATGCTTTCTATGCCAGCAACCCTGTTGTCATTTAGGAAAGCTGCTAAGATCTGGCTATTTCTGAAAGCCTTTTAAGAATTGGTAGGAGATTGAGTTTCCACACCACAGGAGGTTATTGATGTTATGGAGAATGGTTTTCCTCGGTGTAATTATAAATCATGATGATGAGATGATGATGTTGATTTGGCTGGCTGATGTTATCATTTTATGTTATTGTTTTTATGGTATTCTGTATAGCATTTGTACACCCCTTGGAACCTTTTATCAGCTTGTGCAGCACACGGTATACGTTGCTGGAAATATTTATATAAGTATGTGACTGGCAGCAATACTTCCATGTTTGCTAGGAACATTTTTGAGCAATTTATCTTTTACGACCATCAAAGTATGTGGCATTTTATATTAAAATTGGCCTACCCAAAGAGCTTTTAAGCTGGAATTTAGTAGAGGAGAGTGGGCAACATGAAGAAGGGAAATAAAAGTGAGCAGAAACAAATATGTTTGGTCCAAGTACTCATTATTAAGGGGCAAAACTATACCATAATGAAGAGGAGGAAGGAAGCAAAGGTTTCTTTAATCCTTCTCCTTGCAAAGAGAGCACTGACCGAAATAATGGGCTATATAAAAGGTGACCTAACAGAAAACTCATAACAACTGATTTTTTTCAATTTTATACTTTGTAGAGAGCCAGTTTGGTGTAGTGGTTAAGGCACCAAGCTAGAAACCAGGAGACGGTGAGTTCTAGTCCTGCCTTAGGCCTGAAGCCAACTGAGTGACTTTGGGCCAGTCCCTCTCTCTCAGCCCTAGGAAGGAGGCAATGGCAAACCACTTCTGAAAAACCTTGCCAAGAAAACTTCAGGGACTAATCCAGGTAGTCACCAGGAGTCAACACTAACTTGAAGGCAGTAATAATTGAAGGCAGTAATAATACTGACTTGAAGGCAATAATAATAAGATACATTGAATGATCAGGATGCCAGAAAAGAATACTGTAAAACCAACTTGCCAGTTTATGCTATTACTAGGTGGCAATAAAAAGCTGTGATTTTAAACTCTCTATTGCCTCTAGGATGGTTCACCAAAGTGGATTCAGAGTTGCACTTGTAATCCAAAGCAATGTCAAAAATAAGCTCTTGAGATTGAACCTGAGGTAGATTCCACTCATATGTTAAATATGTCCATACTACAGTTTCTAATAAGTTATGGAACAATGTAGAAGAAAGAGGGACCATAAGTTTTTTCTGAGAATCTCTCCTCCTGGTCTTGCTCCTAACTTTGCTTTAGGGTTTTATAACTGTCGACATTTTAATTGGTGGTTCTGTAAATTAACTTGGTAACTGGAAGGTAATTGCAGAAAGTAATTACATTTTTTTACTGGTGGCGGGAAGAACTCCCACCTCCAGCCCACCCCCAGCACGCCTGCATGTTGCTCTGCATGCGTTCAGAGGAAAATCAGCAATAAGGTTTTGAGTGTAGCCTTGGTGGCCATCAGTTAACTGTAACATGCACAGCAGTGTTTCTGTTCCTCTACAACTGTTTTTCTCCTTTGCTGTAGGAAGAAAAGAAATGTTTTAACAACAGTGTGGTAAAAGAGATGAGTGCATAAATAGAATGGAAAACTTTTTTTCCGGATCAATTTAAATTACCTCTCTATTTCTTCTTTTAAGGACCTGACCTTGTTTTTTCACTCTCGTAATGATTTCGGAAGGAACAAACTCTTTCTCCTCATTATCAATAAACAAACACTCTCTGAGCAGAGAACACAACAGAAACCACATCTAAAGGGTGAGCAAAGAATATTCTAAAAGGTGGGATCTAAATCCAGAATAGAAATCTCAGATATTTAACTCCTTAAGGATCACGTTACTTATTCACACTGCCTTTTTCCCTGCAATAACTGAAGTTCATTTATTCATTTAGAATATAAAAGAATGTGAGCACAATGTAAATCACCAAAAATACTAGCAGTAGCACTTAAGAAAAAGCAGTTAAAATCAACAGCAAACACAAACAGGAGACAGGATGTTAACTCAAGCCATAAGCTAGGTAAAGTGTCAATTCAGCTACTGTGGTTTGTAAACCATGGTTTATGGTTTGAGTCACCCCTTTGGGTTTATGAATTAATGGAAATCTTGGGCTCCCAGCATCACAGAATTTCCTGCAACATTTGTAACTTAGATAGAAATGTTAACATTGAGGCATCATTCTCCTCCTTCCATTATTGACAGACAAGCAATGTTTCAACTCTCTTTGAGCTCCTTGGAGCTAAATTAGCAACGTCTGTTTTCTAGAACTGTAAAATATAGGCATTTGTTTCCTTACATTGTATAATGTGATCGTTTGTGCATGCGTCTCTGCATTTGGGGGGGGGGGTTCTTAGTGCATGCAATGCATTTCCTGGGGGCAGAATATTTCTCCTTTAAATATTTATGAAAGCTGCGATAGTAGACATATGTGTAGCTCAGGGTTTTGTGTTGCGTTGTTAGTGTTCTCTGAGCTACAGTTTGGGGTTGCAAAGATTGTATTACATACCATATAATGTAATATCACCAATGCAGGAGATAGAGGACATGAATGTGAGTTGACATGATACAGGCATGTCAATTGACACCAGTATTATCCTGTCATTGCCAGAACAAGGCTAGAAAAATGGGGCCAATGTCAGCATCTACAAAAATTTATCTCTTCAAGGGTGTGAGGTCCCACAGTGCCACCTGTGATCTGAGGGCAGTGCTCCAAGTGAAAAATCAGTGAAGAAGGATTTATTTTTTTCCTCCATGTGCCACTGCTTCAGGAGGAGCATATATTTATGCAGTATTCTCCCACTCTAGTTTTCCACTGGGGAGGTTGCTTCCCACCTCACTCACTGCCTCCCATGGACCTCTGCAAACGAGAACAATGCACCCCAAAGGTTTGCATCCCTAATGGGCTGTGGTGTAGTATTGTTCACTGAGGCCAAAGCAAACCATTTACACTGGGTTTCCCAACTGAATAAGATTTGTAGCTGGTGTAGTTTTAATTATTTTAGAATTCCATCGTCTTATGCCACTGAGTCTGACAGGCAGCTCTTGCATAATGTAACACTAACACTTTTTCCTGTTTCAGTCTTCCTGCATCTCAACTTATGCACCTGCCATGTAAAGCCCTAAATAATCTCTTTCAGTTCTTGGCATTTACATGACTTTTAAAGACTCATCACTGCAGCACATTCCACCCCCCCCCCTTCAACTAGACTTAGAATACAACACTTACTCTTTCCCATCGCATTCTGTTTATTGAATCTTCCCCCTTTCACAATTTCCCTCCATTGGTCAGTGCTTTATTTCTGCAGTTGGCATCAGCTCATCATGGTAAGCTATAATACAGTATGTTTGACTGTGTTGAGTCAACCCAGTTATTGCAGTGTAGAAACCGTGTTTATGGCTTAGCATGACATATAGCATAAACCCAGCTTTCTATGTTTGCATGACATGCCAAGCCATATTGAGGTTAAGATGCAGATTGAGGTTAAGATGCAGGATTTACTATCTGGAAGTGCAGCTTATACTAAAGAGCTTTCCCCATTTGCATCCAACCATGGCACAAACATGCTCCAATAACCTCTTTTGATCTTCCAAGTCCTTCTAACATTGCCTTCAACTCATCCCCAGCCATGCCTGAGGCAGCTAAAATCATCCTTAGGTGTTCCAGTGATAAAGTAGTGTTCAAGTAGGTAGTAAATCATGGCAGTTTTGCCCTAGGTGTAACCTGACACATATCAGAGATTGTTCCATGGATCCTGCAGCCAGGTGACTCCTAGTGGGTAGAATCAGCCCAGGATCTATTGGCCAATTAGGCTCGTACAGGTGCATCTCGTCTCTTCTAATCCCCAGGCATTGTCTTCTAGGGGCATTTGGCTATGTGGAACAAGAGAGTCCAGCTCTTTCCAATAAGCTCCCCCACCCCTCTGTTGCTTCATGTTATGACTCCCTCTCTCCCCAATATTGTTCTGGGTAACTTTTGAAATGGAGCCCAGCTATCAAG